TGTGTTTTAATGAAACAATCATTTCATAGACATATGGTTCTATGGGCAAAAATAGGTATGTTCAACCCCACAGATGTTAAAAAGCTTTCCTTTCAAAGCCCTTCCAATTGATTTAAAATTATTTGGTTTCCTGACCCCCAATTTCCTGCCTTTAAGCCTGGAAATTTTCCATAGGCCTCGGATGAGGAAGTAGCGAATACCATCACAAAAATTAAATCAAATGTTGCTGCTTCATCCAGTGTCAATGTCAACTTTATTCATAAATCATTTAAACAAACCACAAATGAAAGATTCTGGCACTAATAATAGACCCCACAGCAACATGCTGTCACCACCATGCTTGACAATTCAAACATTTGTCATTTTAGTCCAACAGCTCAACTTTAAACATCTATGTTTTCTCTATCTCACCCTCTCTCTATCTCTCTATCTATCTATATTTAGATATATATCTAGATATATATTTTCAGAAAGAATTAGGCTTCACCATCACAGTCAATGTTAGAAACAGGTCTAGCCATAAACAGTAACTCTGGTCTTCCAGCAGTTTTTTAGTTTATTGTCGGTTTGAACTCAGGTGGTTCCAGGGTTGTTTCTAAAAACTTAAACCACTTTCTTTTCACCTACATTTTAAGAGTTTGGGTTCAACACTGAAGCATAATAGAGGTAAAATCATTGTATAGAACCAAAATCTCTACCTGCAAATTTCACCTTTTAACCTACGGTAAATCAAAAGCTAGATGGTGGAAACAGTTGCATGATTTAGAGTTTTCACAGAACACTGTGTCACTTTCAGGATAATTTACAACTGGTTCAGGAATGGATAAAGCAGGACATTCTTCTGAATCACTGAGCCAAACCCTGCTGGAAACCAACCAACAAGGAAACATTTCTAGCATTTCGAAAACACCTTTATGTATCACCAAATGTGTCACTAAAATTCTCAAGTCCACTCCATAGATCTGTCAAGATCAGCTAAACTGTTTGGGGGGTTTGGGACGAAGAGAAACATGAATAAATAGAACAGACTTCAAATTCTAGTAAGACCGTGGACCTTAAGGTGATCAAGCAAGAAAGAAGCCTTGGTTTGAAAATGGACACCTTCAAGCTTGACTAAAATGTGTACATTTTGAGCGCAGTGTTTTAAGGAATCGATGCCAGCCTCTAAATAAGAATTAGTTTGATGCTGTGGGTATATCTTTACTGATCCTAAACCAGTTCTGATGGGTGTTTAGGATCTTTTTTCTGTTGGAAGAACCAAATTTTAACTATTCTGACCAAAACTTTCCCCATTATGGGAAAGAAAATTGTTTAAAAAACACAAAAGAACCTGCAAAATGTTTGCCTTCCACAAACTAGTAGCTGTTTAAAAACCAGTGCTACTATGATCAGTGAATTCCGGTCACATCAGTACAGCCTGAGGCGGTTCCTTCAAGCACTAATGCAAATTGCTTCTTTTTTAACAGAGAGAAACTAAACGCCTTCAGGAGAAACATTCTATGTTCATAAAGGACAACGTTAGAGAACGTAATGACAGAAGAATGCTTAGAGGAATTCAACATAACAATTACTCTACTTATTGTAAAGCATGGAGGGAGCAGCATCATGCTAAGGTTATGTCTTGTTGCCAGTCTAGAATGTGATTTGCATAAAGCTGAAAAGCTGAAAAAAATAATTTAAAAAAAGGATTTTTGTATTTTTTTATCCTACTTAAACAGCCAAATGACTCAAATGTGTTTTCCACTTTGCCCATGATCACAAACAGGAAGTAAGAAGCTGTTTGATGGCTAGGAAATGTGTAAGAATGTGTAATATAGTTTTCACATTTACAAAAATACTGAGCACTCAAAATGTTCTCAGAGACTTTGATTTAATTAAACAGGCTCCCCAAGGACATTTGAACTGTCATAATTATGTATTATATATAATTATAAAGATAAAAATGGAACATATGCAGCAGATCCAGAACTGCAGCCTCTGACATGTTTAAGGCAACCAGAGAAAGACGTTAAAGAGAACATTTAAAACTTGTTTTTCGGGTTAAGCTTTCATCTCGCCTACAGATGCTTATGTTTAATTGGTTCAATTGGGAATTATTTTTAATTAGAGCAGATTGTATTTGCTGTAGAGGCAAAAAACTCTGACAACATTGCTTTCCTGTGATTCAGGAAAGCAATGTTCTTTAATAGCACTCATGTATTTCTGAATGTTTTCTGTTGATATTTTGTCCCGTTTTCTGACTATTTTTGTTTCCCTCCTGAATCCTTGAAAGTTAAAAGAATGAAGTCTGGCCAAGTCCCATTAAAATACTGAAAAATAGACTATTTTTATAGCTTTTAACCCCCTTTAATGGCACAATGATAAGCAAGACTCTGGAATTTTAAGAAGAAAATTTTAAAGCCGTTTCAAATTTCAAAGCCATCATAAAACAACCATTTGACCAAAAGACTTTAAGGCATGACTACATGCCCTCTTTCTTGTTTTGTAAGGTTCTACATATTTACCAAATTTCAAAAGAGCTAAACTGTACCTCAGTTTAGAGGAGACTGCAGAGAAACTTAAATATCTTTAATATACTCACTTTAAATTCAAGGTTGGTTCGAAAGTTTTATATTCACGTACAGATGAAAATATATTTTTTAGCATTAACTTTATGGAGTAATTTCAGATTTTCCTTTGTGAACATATTGCATTCGGCAAGCTGTTATTTATTGTTCAGTCTATATGTATTATTCAGAGGTCGGCAACCCGCGGCTCTTTAGCGCCCGCTTGCTCGAAAAAGATGGATGTTTTCGTTTGTTTGTTTTAATATGGTGTGCAGGAGGTGAAATAAACATTTGTTGTTTTTTCCAACACTTTCAAAAAGTGTTTAATAACTAAAATTAATAATTTAAACAATAAATGCAAACATTTCTGTGAACAAAGATTTGCTATCTAGCCTGCAACACAAATGACAGCGCGACGCGGTGCCAGGCAGGTGATGTTCATTTGCTGTCTGGAAAGCTGTACTAAGCGGAATTTGTTTCTGAATACACTTTGTGTTTACAAAATGACAATAAAAGTTGTCTAAGGCTAAGCCTAAGGTGGCTGAAGTAAACAAACCGGTGGGTGTGTCTCGGGCCATGGATCCCAAAGGGTAAAAAGGAAGATGGCCGATGAGAACAGAGGATTCAAAGAAGAAAGGACTGAATCATTTGCTTTTATTACCAATGCGGAAAAAGATTGTCTGCATGTTTGCTTTGTAATGAGAAGTTGTCAAATAGTAAAAAGCTTCTTTTGGAAAAGCATTTCCAGGGAAGGCGTGCTAAATATGCATCCGATCACCAAGGTGGGAAAAATTGCGTTTGCAGAACTTATTGATAAATTAGAGGAGAGCAAAGATAGATTAAAGAAGTGGATTGCATCTCCAACTTCCACTACTGCTGCTAGTTTTGTTGCAAGGATGGAAAACCGTTCACAGATCCAACAGGTAGCACTCTGATGCATGTATGTGAACCCCCTCTAAAAATCCTAAAAATAAAAATAACACCACAAATCTGATTTCTTTATTCTTTTTCTATAACTTCATTAATACAACAAAACCTAATATGTCAATATTGTAATTCAATTTAAAATTAAAGCACCAAATATTGTACAGCAGAGTAGTCACATGATGTGACATTTAATAATGAACACGTATTATATATTTAAGCCGACATAGTCCTTGTTTTTATAGTGGGCTAAAACACTTAGATAGATTTGTTTTTTTCTTTTTTTGATCTAATGTGGCTCTTTGAGCAGATTGGGTTGCTGACCCCTTATCTAATTAATAGACGCTGCCCTCTTGTGGTGAGAGATAAATGCAACAACTGAGCAAATAAAGTGTCTCCATGGAGATAAAACATGTTAGAGTAAAACTCACAGAGATGTTGTTGAATCCTGCAGCCATTGGATGGTTTTGTACTGGAGGAATTGTCACACGATCCTCCTAAGATGCAGTTTAGTATCACTTAAACAAGTTTTCAATAAGAGAATGTGAGAAATGTTGAAAAGAAGGGATATTCTGGAGCATCTGAGGATGTTTTCACTCACGGTGGGTTCTGAATCATATCCTTCATTACTGAAGCCGGTAGGGACAGGTGAAACATGATTGGTTCGCAGGTAGAAGACGAGCAGGGCCACCAACGTGCCGATCAGCAGCAGGACCACGATCACAGAGGCTGCAATTCCACCGGTGTTGTCTGGCAGCTTTGTGGCTGAAGCACAGATAGAACTAGGCCATCTTAGGTTCTGCAGAAGATCTTACCGCCACATCGATGTAATGGATTCATATAAAAGCTACCAACAAAAATTTTGGTATTCTGTTTATGAAAGACATTCATTTGAAAACATTCAGGATTATTCACACACATATTTTCACTCAGGAATGTAAATTGCAAAGATGAAGGAAAATTACTCATGTTTAAACCTTTTTTTTTTATTTTCTTTCCCCTGAAACCCTTAAAGACCCCTTATTAGCAAACAGTCCAGCTGTTCTTTGAAGGTCTCAGAGGTTCATTAGATGACAATAGCAGTCATGGAAACCAAAGAATGCAGCCAACAGGTCAAGGAGAAGGCTGAGGAGAATTTCAGTTTGATGGACCAACTGCAGACCAACCAAGACAAGGAAGCCCTTAACTAACTTATCAAGAAAGTGTTTTTTTTTTTAAATATATTTTAAGCCAAGATCTCAGGAGAGCAGGATTATCTGTTAACAGGAAAACCACTATTCGTGCATTACATAAAACTGATCTTGATGAGAAAAAAAAACTGCCACTAAAGTCCTGAAGCCTTGCAGGGGACACAGCAAACATGTGGAAGAAGTCGCTGTGATTAGAGGAGATTTCTAGGGTTAAATGCAAACTGCTATCTTGGCCAAAATCTAGCAGATTACATCTCCTTGCTAATTACGTCCCCTTAGTAAAGCATGGGGGGGCATAGTGATGGTAAAGGGAGGTCCCTGCTAAACTTCCCATTGGAGAAAATGGGAGGATAGATGGAGCTTAAAACGGGGCAATCCTGGAAGAAGCCCTGTCAGAAACATCAAAATGCAATCATACAGCCAGAGCGACGATGTAAGGCCTTAGATCAGTAACACTGGAGGTATGAGAGGAGCGCAAGGCATTTTAAAAATATTAGACCTCTAGAATTATGCTTAATAATAAAAAAAATCAATGTGTGGTGCTCTAATTATCCACAATTTTAGATATTTTCTTCTCTATAATCATCTGTACCTTTTGTGCTAAGATCTCTTTGTATGTCTGATATCGGGCCAATGAATGCATTGTTATTAATGAACTCACAGTAAGCAGACAGACACAGATGGACTTCAGGATGCAGACAAAGTGAGTTATTTGCCCTTTCTACAAAAAATGCCCACAATTTGTTGGATGAATGTAAACAGAGAGGCAGCCTAGATGCAGAAGATGATCTCAGACTGACTTGGCTCTTTCTGTCTCCAACATTTCTAATATAACGGTTATGCTAAGCAGTTACGATTGTACTTACAGTTGTTGATGTCAGATTTTTTTTTTTATTACCATTTATATTATTACGATTGTTAAGATTCTGTTTACTGAAACCACTTTGCTCTGAACAGTTCAGATTATTTGTTTCTGTGTGGAACAGTTCTCATTTCGGTGAAATTTATTACTATAAAAAAAACTATTTTATTTCATATACCTGAAACTTGAATGTCTGTAGTTTTGGAAGTAAAGACATTGTAAACAACATTTAGATAATATATAATAAGCAGCTGTGTCTTTATTGCAAACTGTTTTAGTAGCAAAATAGGTACATATTGCTGTATTATATTGTTTGATATTTTGATGGTTCTTAAGGATCGGCTTAGTTTTGAGGAGGCATAGATCGAAGCACATTGAGCTGTTAGAGTGGCCTAGTCAAAGTCAAGATCTGAATCCATGAGAGACCCTGGGGTACCAGTGGAAAACTGCTGTTAACAGAACGGATCCAATCTGACTGTTTGGGGCCATTTTAAATTAAATAAAAGAAATCCATACATGCAAAACTGGTGGGGTCATAACCCAAAGGACGTATGAGTCTCACTGCAGGGGAGATCTTCTCTTGTTTTCAAACAAAACTCTAAGGAGACTACAGAACATCTGGATTGATACTGAGATTAATTTAAAAAACAAGAATCCTTAAGAGTTGTCCTGGATTTATTTAGGGAATCCAGAGTAAATTGGACTGAACTTGTGTTTTTGTGGTTTGTATATGCAGAACGACTTTAGTTTGAACATGTAGTCTGCATCTGAGGGGAAAAAAACCATATAAATCCAGGTAATTTGGGGTCTTCAGTCTTACTCGGTTTTGTGACTCGGGTGGCGCAGTCAAAGCCAACGGTGTACTCGATGTCATCCAGAGCGACAAAACCCGCTGTTCCTTTGATCCCTTCAAAGACTATCTGTTAACAGGAAGCAGCTTTTTAGTCCGGGCAGACTCAGGATGAAAGTTTGAAGATTTCTGAAAAGTTCCCTGGAGCGTCTGACCTGGTACTCCTCAGCAGACGTGATGTTTACTTCAAAAAGTTTCCAAGGTCCCCCAAGTTCGGTCACTCTCAGCAGCTCATTGGTTAGACCTCCGGACAGTCTCCAGATTCTCAGCTGGCAGTCAGCTGCCGAAATTCAACATGAAGCATCAAAAACGCACTCAAAAGGATATCTAAACACAATTTCTGAAATGTATGTATTTTTTCTTTATGTAAAAAAACTTCTATTAACTTTTTTTATTAAATAATTTCAACACAGAACTATTAAATACATCTCACATGAGGCATTTGTAATATAAATCTTATTTATTTGAAACACATAATCATCAGGTTCAGGTATTTCATACTATTAAAGTATACTTAGTCAGGAATAATGCTAATGAGTGGATTTATTTCAAATACATCCAGTTTTTGTTTCATTTTTATAAAGGTAACAGTGATTATTATGCAATTTAAACAGTTAAAGTTTATATATTTGAAATAAATACACTCATTATTATTATTTTGAGTAAGTATACTATATTAAAAGTAAACCTATAAAACTGATGATTATGTATTTCAAATAAATAAGCTTTACTATACAAATGAATATTAATAATGTAAGGTTTAATTAAAAGTTTTGTGTCAAATTTATCTAAAAATAAATGGGAATATTTTATTTAATGGAAATTTGGGTGAAATATTTTTGTGAGCGCCAAAGATCACGATTCTATGGTCCGTTTTTGGGGCCACCGGGCTTACATGAGTGGGGTTTGTAGGCCCAGAACCTCAGACAGGTGGCCTGAGTCGCAGGCAGGTGGGGGCTCAGGATCCAGGCGTTTTGATTTGCTGCGGTCCTGTTGCTGCTGGGAAAAAAGAGGAAATGACCTGGGAAAAAAGAAAAAGGAAAGACTTGATTAGAACCAGAACAGAAACTCTTAACAATTACAGCAGCTGCAGATTTTGTCTCTGTGACGCCCACCTTTCTCTGTGCCCAGAGTGTGGTCTTCAGGCGGGACGGGATAGTGCTCTTCTGTCTCCCGACTGGTCAAATCCCAGTCCAGTTTGTCTCTTTCGCTGTCTTGAATGTTGTTCCAAATGCACATCCCATTTTCCATGCTGCACGTAGCACCTATGGTTTTAAAAGAAAAGCATATCTACTATAGGAACTAGTGTTGCTCTAATGCCATTTTTTGGCCCCGATACCTGCCTGTGCAGTATTGGCCGATACCGGTACCATACCGATACCATCTATTTGAAATTGATGTGTGTGTGTATATATGAAGAACTGAATACTACTTGCCATCATGGCTTTGTCAAGCTGCTGCCTACCTTTGTGAAGCAGGAAAAAGACTAATACAAAATGAATCCAGTAGAACTTTTTATTGCCTACCTGTAATCGGTGAGAATAGTTGAATAAATTTTGGCTCTCAAAACGGTATCGGTGCCCTATTTGTTGGTACTCGCCGATACCGATACCACCATATCAGTGCTGGATCGGGGCCCCTCCCGATACTGGTTTCGGTGCAGCACTAATAGAAACTGACTATTATACAGCAGCATCGCAATAAATTCACTAAAAGATGATTTTACTTTATTGTTATAAATCAAACATGACAGTTATTCTACAGGGAGGGGCAATGACAAACTCTACAAACAGAGTAAGCTGCAAAAAGGCCATTTCTATAGTAATCATAGGCAGTCCAGTCCAAGTGTAATTAGTGGAAATTTGAGTGGAAAGTAAAAAGGCTGCAAAATCTGTAGACAAATAAGGGAAACCATCATGTTGAGACAATAGTGAGGCAAAGCCCACAGAAATATGAATCACAGAAAATAATGTGAATGTACTTCCGTAAAAATTCAAAAAATATCCACTGGACTTGGTTTTCAAGATTTGAAGACGTTTCGCCACCTCTCCAGGAAGCTTTCTCAATTCAAATGTCTGGATCCGCAGTGAGTTTGAGTCCACCTATTTTCTTTATCCAGAATAATGTCCATATTCTGGATAAAGAAAATAGGTGGTTTGAGAGGGGCGTGAAGGAAGCCATCTATGTTAAGAGAGAAAAAACAACTTTAAACAGAGGTGGTGGACTCAGATTCCAGCTTCCAAAACCATACAATTCAATCATAGACATGATCCCTTCCAGATATCACCAAACCCCCCACCCTATCACAGAGGAACGAGGGACCCACCCGCCCCAGCCGGTGAACAATACCTCCTTAACGACCAACTCTTAACAATCATAGACAGGTTTCAGGTATTACAGGAGACAATCCCCCCCTTAATGGCAATCCCCCCTTTAACGACCGACCCCTAGAATCATAGACAGGTTCAGACATTACAGGCTAACGATGGAACTAACGACCCATTCATCGGTTACCATTGCATGTTTCCAAGCGATACAAGGCGTTGTCTATATAAGACTGAAACTCACTGCGGATCCAGACATTTGAATTGAGAAAGCTTCCTGGAGAGGTGGCGAAACGTCTTCAAATCTTGAAAACCAAGTCCAGTGGATATTTTTTGAATTTTTACGGAATGACTAGGACCTGGATGACTGAGAACCTTCATCAGCAATGTGAATGTACCAAACTATATGCACTCAGTATTACCTTTTGCTTAAAATACTCCATTAGTTTCTTTGATAAAACAGACTTTAAAGGAAAATGATGCTTAATTTTTCTACTGGTATGCGGAGTGTAGAAAAGAAAAGAGGTTCCTGTGGATTTGTGCTGTTTTAGGATAAAATATTTGTGTGCATTTATATCCATTTTTCATCCTCCAGTTGCCCCTTCGTTTCAGTTTGATGTTTTGTTTGTTCTTTCGTAAGGTTATCTTAGGATGGTGGATTTTATTCTGAAATTTACCGGGTATCTTTCTCGTCAGGCGCCTGAATCTGCACGGCTTCTAATTTTCATATTTTTTGAGCCGGACCCAACTGGACCAAGGCTAATGTATAAAGACTTGTATGAAATATTTGGGTTCCCTTTTTATTTGCCCTTTAAACTGCAAATAAGATTTGTTTTTCATGTTATAAAAAACTGAAGAAATTGAAAATGAATTAAAGGTAAAAACAAACCATAATCTTCACATGGATGAGCTAAGACTGAGATGTCATCAACAGCAGCGTGGGAACTTTTGCCTCCTGACCCGGTCACCTCAAACTCCAGCTGTGGAGGAATATTAACTGAATTTTAAGCCGAATATTGGGAAAAGTACTCTTTAACTTGTTTTGAATCTTACCTGCCAGTCCACAAGGCCGCTGGAGATGTTGCCTTGGCCATGGCGCCACTCGTCTCCCTGATTGAGGTTGGCTGAGAAGATCTGTACTCTCTCCCCCTTCTCGGGTTTCATGTATACCCTAAGGTAGCCTGAAAGGAACCACTACTGAGGCTATCTGGCAGAAGTGAGATAGAGTAGAGCAGGCATAGAAAAGCTGCTCACCTGGGTTCTCTTCTTTCATATGATACCAGAAAGTTACACATTCGGTTTTGGTTGTTCCTGAACGGACAGGAGAGACGAGGACAGCAGTGCTACTGGCTGGAAGAACATCTCTGTCGGTGTTGACCATCATGTAATAACCTGGAAATAACATAGAGAGTAGGGCGGTTTAAAACCTTTGCTTTCTGCATGATGTTCAGACTTTTTTATTCAACAAAAGGGTTTTTTTTCTGACCCAGCTCAGTTCCCAGAGTGTGGTCCAGTTTGGGTCCGCTGGCCGTACTGCTGTGCCCGTTTCGATGAAGCCACTTAACTGTGCCGTAGCTGCTGTACCCACACATCTGTGCTTCAAAGGAGCACTTTCTGGGCATGGCACACAGGCCGTCCAGGAAAGTCACATCGTCAATGGCCACCTGGCCGTCGAAACCGGATCGAACTGCCTCAAACATCAGCTGTTGGGGGATGACAGTTATTAGAGAAGGTTGTCTGTGCAGCCTTGATTCTTTCCAGTCTGTTTTTTAATGGAAATGTTCTTACAGGTGGAACAGATTCAGGAGGTCTTACTAAGCTGGAACTATGGCATAAATTAACCTTACCCCAAATAAACATGTAATATTTCCCTGTTGACTCTACAGTACTATAGGCCATTACAGATTAATCTACCAGCAAAGCAACAGGCTGGAGAAGGAGCCAGTTTATTTCTGGCTGCATCTACATAAGTAGTTATTTTAGTTGCACCTGAAGTTATTTAATTTATACTGCAATTTCATTTTATTTGAAAAAAAATTACAAACTTGCTTTTTTTTTTTTAATAAATAAAACCTGAAGAGGTTCATTGCCCCAAAACTTTAGTTTTTCAGCTGGTTCCTAAAAAAACAAAACCAAACAAACGAAAAAAAAAAAAAAAATGCTGCTTTTTAATGACAATCGTAATTTGAACATCTTTAAAGCCTTCATGACCAACATCATTAGTATTTATTAGAGGCAAAGGCAGCTTATTTATGAAGCTTTTTATGCACAAGACAATGAAAAATGCTTTATAGCTGAAAATCTCAAAGACTTTCTTTATTACAAAATGATTTAATAATAAAGCTTAAAGTTCTGCACTGTGTTAAAGACAAAGATGGTAAAATCTGGATATCAAACCTACTTATTTCTTATCCAGAGACCACAGATTAAACAGGTCTCTGAGATCCTGATGGTTCGTGCTTTAAAGCCAATCAGAAAAGTATTTCAGCCAAATACTGTGCCTATAATGGCTGAAAGGAGTGATGGATGCTGAGCTTTTAAAACATGAACCCTTTTTTTATTTAATCTGCCTCGATCAAACAAGATGGAGCACCAGATGGGAGTGTAGCGTACCCAAACACCCACAAAACTGTTTTTGGATAAATCCATAGAGGAATAGAACAAACTCTAATTAAGAAAGCTACGGATTTACAAGCTGTATCAGAGGAAAAATAAATCACCAAAGATCAAATATAGGATCAATATGATCCTCATGAGGTTAACCTTTATCTGTTTATTTGGAAACTGTATGCATGTGTTGTAATATTGGATTTTGGATGGTATTATATCAACATAATATAAATAAGCTTTTACTCTTATCTTTGTACTAAAATCTTTATCTCATTTGTTTGTTTTTTTTGGATCTCTTTAGCTGCCAGATGGACAGCAGATGGCAATCATTAAACTGTTACAGTTTAATGCATTTCTGTACATTGATCAAATACTGTCACTGCTTGCTGCAAAATATAATATAAAATAATATTAACTAATATTATTTCAAGGCTGCACTTTAAAAAATGAAAATGTCTAGAGCTGTTTTAAACGAAAATTCTTTTTGTTTACACTCATGTATACAAAATGACAAAATAAATCTGTCTAAGTCTCTAAAATAGATGACAGATATGGGGTCCCTCCTGAAGCTTTCCAAGTAGCCAAATGTGGTTGAGATTGATTTGTTTGACCTTAAACAGGCTGTTCTTCTAGAAAACCCTCAACTCTTGGCTTAAAATTATTAGTTTTCCAAAAACAAAGTGGACAAGGGTTCCAAAGCCAAGTAAATGACTTGTTCCTACTTATCAGAGACACTCAATAACAGTTATTTGATTTTCTTTGTCACATAACCGGGTTTGATTGGAAGATTCCATCTGGTTTGTCCAGCTTTGCTTTAAAGACGCATTTGAAGACAGATTTAAGTTTTTAATTTCCCTTTGGGGTCAACTCTTTAATCTCTAATCTAGTCTCTGCATCATACTAAAAAAAACAACATATTTGCACTAACAACATGGTTGATTTAAAAAAAAAAATAATCCATTTAAATCGAACACAACTCATTGTTCTACTGCATTTTGCACCATATTTATTTATTTGCACTACACTGAACCTTTCCGTATCTATGCCTTTTGCACTATGGCTTTTAAACTGTATTAATTTTCTCCTACACTGTTTACATTCTTTGATCACTGCTGCACTTTATAAATGGTAATATTAATTTCAATTCAATGTTGTAAGTTGTATACAATCACATTTGCATTTGTCTTAGTCTATTTTTCAACTAAATTGAATTGAGAAAAACATATAAAACATGTTTTCCACAGCTGTGCATTTACTCTTTTGATACCTGAAAGTCTGTGAGTTGATGCGGTACGGGGCAGTGCGCTTCGTGCCACACATTGCCATGAGCCCCACTGCGGGTCCACAGTATAACCTCATAGCCAAGGCCGTCTATCAGCTTTACATTCAGAGCTCCTGGATGAGATCAGGAAGATCGACTCATTAGTTTGTATCTGATCAGGAGTCAATGCTTCATTCGTGATCAGAGCAATAGATTAGCTCCAGGTTTGATCACCTGCGTCTGGCCCATAGAGCTTGTAGAAGAAGGTCAGACACATCTCTGTTGGTGCTGGAGGCTGTAGGAATGACACCAAGCGTCCAGAAGCTCCAAGTAGTGATGGACTCCACATGTCCACGACAAGACTGCTGCCTGATGATCAACGACAGGAAGATGGACACAGATTCCTCTCAATAAGTGATGATAGATTTGAAAAGTGAAACTTAGACATTATTCAATAGACAAAACACAATTCAGTTTCAGGTGAGAACAATAATAAAATATTTGAACCAAATAATGTTTTTAGCTATTTCAGATTCCATGTTCATTCTCTAAAGAAAGATTTGCTCAGTAGAGCTAAAGTTTCTTTAATTATTAAAAAGTTATCAAAATTTTTTAAATGGTCTATTTTAACTGATTGTTGGCATGAAAGGATTATTGTTGTATCGAACAGTTTCATTTCTTTAGATCTGAAAGTTTTCTACAAGTAGCAAAACCTGAAATTATCAGTGTGGGAAACAAAGAGAAAAAAAAAAGGTTACAAAAAGTTGATTTTTCTCACCTATTCCAATAGTGTGATCCATCCCAGTAACCAAAGACCAGTCAAAGTTGTCACTGTTGTCCTGATACCAACTGCACAGTCCTTCCTCAAAGTTACAGGACAGTCCTGGTATCAAAAAAACGTTCAATTTAAAACATTTAAAATACAAAAAAAACAATTTTCTTTTTTTTACTAATAGTGCTAATATTTACCTGTTGGTGTAGCTGGATAATAGTCAGTGTGGCAGTTGATGAAGTGAACGTTCCTCACTTTGATCCATGCATACGGCTGAGTTTTTACAGCCCAGGCTTCAAATGCCAACTGATTAAAAGAAGCAAAAATGTTGGATATGCAGCATCATCAAAAGTCAGTTCTTTGATATGTAAAACATCGCACTAGAGTACACAAAATTGTACTTAACTAAAAGTAACACTACTTCAATATATTTTTACTCAAAATGTAATGAGAAGTAGCCGTTCAATAAATTACTAAAGTGAAAGTAAAAAAGTATTTGGTAAAAAGGCGACTCAACTAATTAGCAACTAATCATAACATCTGATCTGCTTTAAATTATGCAATAAAGACGGGTGAAAATGCAAAGTTATCTGCAATTTGTGGTATTTTAACAACTATATTTAATAAAAAAACAACATAATTGGCAGAAAAATGACAAAAATAACAATTCCAGGCTGAAACCAAACCTACCAAATTTCATGGTAGGTTGAAGTGTGTACAAAAAAGGAGCCCTTATTTTGACAAAAAAATTAACTGTGTCTTCTTCTAAAACACTGTTTTAAAAACAAACTTGTTCTTTATTTATTGAAATCACAAATGATGGATAGAGCAGCCAAATATTTTACTTTTTTTATTTTCATTAGAACATTATTCAAGTAAAGTCATGAAACGACTTCTACTGTAAATGTATATTTTTGCAAAGAAGTTACTTAATGAGTAAATTTAACTTGTTACTACCCAACTCTGTTTTTACCAGTCATATAACTGATGTTTTCCTTTTAAGAGCTCATAAACAAGCTTATCTGGGAAATAAAAAGCATCCAATAACCCAGCTGTGCAGAAAATTATTTAAGTACTTTTATAAAATGTATTTAATCTCTGGTTTCATCTGTATGGAAAAGGTTAGACAAAAAAAAAGCGTTTTGAGGCCTAAATGGTTTGAAAATTGGATCAGAGAAAATGCAATAACTAAGTTGTAAAAACATACTTGGAAACGATGTTTTCTATGCCCAATAAGAATGTTAGCTTGTTGCCAGGACTCCTCCTTTTCCTCTGCTCCTGTTTTTCCGCTGAACTCCCACAGTTTAGGACTTGGCCCCAGCAGGCTGTCGATCACTCTGAGCGAAAGCTCACCTTTATCAAAAAGATGTAATCACTGTTGTGTATAGAAAAATCAAAAACCTTTCAGACATTGGGTTGGAAATTACCGATGTGATCCAAACTCCCGGTGAGAGCGAAGTCAAAGCTTAGAGAACAGACTGGACCTGTAGGGCCCAGGAGGGGCGTCCGAGTCTGGGCTTCGGTCAGCTGCTGACCTGAAGCCTCAGCTACATACAGGTACTCTTCTTTTGTAGAAGTAAATAAAAAAAAAAACACATTACATATTAGTGGACAAATAGGCAGCATCAATTAATTAATTAATTATAATTTTTACCTTTAGCTGTAGCATTTTTATGGAGCACCCAGCCTTGACTCCCAACACTGGCGTCAGTCCAGCCAGAGCTTCCCTCAACATAGGAGAAATCTCCTGCAGCAATCACACATGAAGACATCACACATGAAGTGCATCCTTTAAACCCTTACAGACAAGATTCAAACCAAATGTGCACATTTAGGCCTTTATCTGACTTGTATTTCTAATCAGATCCTTAATATTGGGAACAGAAATGCTCCTGCTTTCTTCAGTAGATGTCCTCATCAGCTGGTGTGTGCTTAAGTTTTGTTCCCCCCAATTAAAGAAAAAAAAAGTGCTAAATATGTCATGATTTCGTCGCTTATTTCTGGCTTAATTATTCATTTCATTCACCTGTCTAACTCTGCCTGGTTTCTCATCACTGCTCTTCTGATCCACCTGCTCCTGCCTCTATTTAAGCTGCTTGCATCCAGTCATCAGAGCAAGATTATTCTTGCTTTCTCTCTAGTCAGTGGTGAGAGTGTTTTTAGAGTTTCTTGGTGTTTCTTGTAATTCCCCTCAGGCACGACAAGCACAAATGGATTTCTTGAACTGATTTAATGAAGCCTCCAAATCTTCATTAGCACCGTGAAAACTCGTTGGCTGCATGCCACAATAAGGGAATTATCCGTGAATTAAAATGTGATTGTCCTTGATGCTGTCCTTGGTTTTTACTCAACAAACTTCAGCTTATAATGTTTGTGAGTAATGTGAAAAACCTCCGTTGATTTCCATGAAAGACGGGAGTTGGAGTTTGTTTCCATGGTAACCCAAGACGGACGTTGGTGAAATAACGTCTTCTCAAAACAGCGCAAGAACAAGCTTGTAGATATAATCATGAGAATAATCATAAATAAATCAAACCATGTGTCACTCAGTAAAACAATATAAAGATACAATCATATTTACAATAATTAATATGAAATGTAAATAACTATATATACATATATCAATATCAATGAAATATATCAATAAACTGTTTGCATCATCATGGATACATTTACATTTCTGATTTCCTGATCCTGACCTGTTCTGCCTCTCAACCACTGAGCCTGCCTGTTCCTGTTCTGATTTGTTTGCCTGACCTGGCTTTGAGCTCCTGCTTGTTCTCTGGGGCTGCATCATCTGGTACGCTCTGGGCGGCGCCCGCTCTACTTTTTGGCAGCCCACCGCCTGGAACCTACCTTGTTCTCTAGGCCTAGACTGAACTTGTAAACCAGGGTTACGTGGTCACTAACCTATGTTTCCTTTTGCAGAGTTTCCTGTGATAAACGCCCTAACCAATGCTACTCTGATTCCTGTGGTTTTAATTAAAAGCTTTTTTTCCCCCCACATTTCTTGCCTGAAAACTGGGTCCTTTGTTCTAAGTTGTGACAAAATACTTGAAATTCAGAGAAAGGTTCCTTCCTACTAAACAAAGAGCTAGAATGACGATACAATGTGCCACCTCAAACTATATTAATGAGTTGGAAAAAAAACTGCCTGCACTATCTAAATCTGATCAAATGAAAGAAATTGGTTGCATTAATCATATCACCTTGAATTCCCTTTCCGAGCAGTAAATGAAATCAATTTAAGTACATTAAAATAAATCAATTTAAAGGGACCAAAGACCTTTTCTTTTCAAAAAACCTTAAACTAAAGACATTAAAACCCTTCATCCATTTTGCATTGGTTATACTCTGAAAACAATGTATAACCTACCAAATTTCCTTTAATGAATAACATAATAAAGATAAGAGGAAGAAAAATAGATATTTCCAAGTTTAATGAGCAGGACGGACTTGGAACGAATTTGTGGCTTTAGGAGCAATAATGCCATCATTAATGGAGCAATTAAAAGAACAAAAGCACCACATCAGGAAACATTGGAAGAAGATTAATACATACTGTAGATATAGAATTAAAGTCTTGTTTTTGGGCAAAAAAGAAAAACAAAATTGCAGATGCTTTTAGCTTTTTAGTGTTGAAAACACACGTTCAAGCAAATAACCTTATTGTTTAAATGAATGGCTGAGACTTATTTTGTCTGATGCTTTTTTTTTGTTGAAAGAAACTCACCGCATTTGGCTTCATCTTCTGCTTCAGCACAGTCTGCATTAAAATCACACATCTTCTCTGGATCATCAATGCAAGGATCCTTTGGAGGTTTGGGTATGGTTTCAAGGGTGTTGTTCTCTACTCAGGAAAATAAACAAAAGAAAAAAAAATAAAATAAAAGAAAAGTGTTTTTTGATGTAGTTGTTTAAACTTTGTACCTAAGATATATTTTTGGAAATGTCAACGACAAGCATACTGTACCAGATGACCGGCGGCATTCAGGAGACAACACGATGCTGTCAACACCAATGCCTCCATAAGCAAAGTCTCTGATAGCGGCCATTATCAGAATCTGTGGAGATTTAGCAGAACAAAAGAAAACAGGGTCATCTTTTTATTTATAATAATCCGACCTGAATGATCAAAAATGCAGAAAATATCCATAGAAAATACATAACGTTAGTAGGATCAATATATCCAAACTTAAATGTAAAAACTTAAATGTAAAAATATAAAATAATGTTATTTACAGAATATTGATTTGAAATGTAAATAACTGTAACTTCTATGTAAAGCACATATTATAGAAAGAAATAGAATAAATTTAAATGTCTGGATTACTACATGTAACCCCTTGCAGTAGATTTTCACCAAAGCAGATGATCTGCGTTTATATTTGAACAATATTATTGTTAACAACTTTTGTCGTTTGACTACTATTCACCATGGGCAATACGTGAGCTACGTCTTAATCTACCTGGAAGGTTGAGTTCGACACGATCTCCACCTCTGCCTTCGCCCAGAGATCCCCTAAAGCTCCGCCTCTTTCCCAGGCTGGGTAAAGTAGGCGTTGAGCAACCAGCACCGTCAAGCCGCCGGACCTCGGCCCAAACTGGTGAGTGTACATGACCATCTAAAGCAAACAAAGGAGCAATTCCTGGTAATACCTTTTAAAATGATAAAACTTAAATCATTGGAGAATTTTAACTACAGAAACGCAGCTCTGATGATGTAGCACATTTTATTGTTTTATGCTCCAATTTCTAAGGTCTGATAAGGATGAAAATATTTTACTTTCAGACGTTATAGCCTAAAACATCCATCCATCCATCCATCCATCCATCCATCCATCCATCCATCC